GTGCATAAAATGTTGTGTTTGCATGCACCGTGTTTGAAAAGTTATGAGGTTTTCATTTGGTGTCTGCTAATCGATGACGCGGGTGGCGCTGTGGGTAAAAGCCTCAGCGCCTAGGGCTTGCCGATCGAAAGGTCGGCGGTTCGAATCCCCGCGGCGGAGTGCGCTCCCGTTGCTCGGTCCCAGCGCCTGCCAACCTAGCAGTTCGAAAGCACCCCGGGTGCAAGTAGATAAATAGGGACCGCTTACAAGCGGGAAGGTAAACGGCGTTTCCGTGTGCGGCTCTGGCTCGCCAGAGCAGCGATGTCACGCTGGCCATGTGACCCGGAAGTGTCTCCGGACAGCGCTGGCCCCCGGCCTCTTGAGTGAGATGGGCGCACAACCCTAGAGTCTGGCAAGACTGGCCCATACGGGCAGGGGTACCTTTACCTTTACTTTTAATCGATGACTCATCCCAGGGAACCAGAAGCCAGCTATCTCTCTCAGCAGGAGCAAGTTGCTTAGATGGAGCTCTCTCTGGGACCAGAGAGAATAGTTCTTGGACAATATTAAATAGCAAGATCTTAAGAAGACTGGCCTGTATTGCTAGTTGTTTAAGAGCAATGTGTTCATTTGTTTTTGCAATGTTTATTTTGTAACTAGTTTAAGACAGTTTGCAGTAGAACTTTAGGAATTCTTTATTGTGGTGAGAGCTTATTGATTTATACTCTGCACAAGGTCCACATCAGGGAACTCCACACACAACTACTAACACTTCACCCCTGGATGAGGGAGTATTTATCGTGTTTCTCTGCTTCTGCATTGTCTTGTTTTGTTGCGGCGATTTAACGATGCATTGTTTCAATGTGCAAAATATTGTACATGCTGTTTTGGGTTGGTTAGCAGGGTGCATATAAAGAATGGAACGATTAGCTAGCTTACTTTTCCTATAGGGCAAAGGGGCTGCGTCTGAAAAGGAATAGCTGTGGGAAAAGGTTTTGCCAGCTTGAAGGTCCGAAATATTATTTCAGAATTGGCTGCTACACCCAGGGAACCTACAAACTACCAGCATAACCCGGAAGTTTAGGTTTGTGCAATTAAAGTGGATTAAGACACTCGTGTCACGCCAGCACAATAAATAAACTTTTAGAAAGAAATTGATTTTTTTGTGTGTGGTTTGGAAAATTGCATTTAAAAGTGTGGGGTGAATGGAAGATTTAATGGGAAGACATGTAAACAGTCCAAGAACGAATCTCGATAAACCCAGGAGGAATGCTCACTGTTATATAACATCCCTGTAAGCAAACCTGAACAAATGCTCAATAAAGACCAGATACAATGTAGCCTCTGTGAAAGCTTTGTGGAAAGCAAATCATACCCAATAAATAGGTTGTCCGAAGCAGTGATTGGGTTCATGCTACACTTTTGAAGACAGTTTTTTAAAAAAGGGTTCCCCACGTCAAGGCTGCAGTGAGAACATAATGGATAGACAAAATATACCAGATAAAAATAGGCATACTTGTGTCAGTTTACATTTTAAACTTTAGCAGGACCAAGAATAGCCTGGGAATGAGACAAATTTCTGGTTTTGAAGTGTTCTCAGTCCACGTCCCCTTGGAACAGTGTTCCACATTAATTCAAGCTTCTAAACTTTTGGAGGCTCAAATACGACTCTCCACAAACATTATAACTAAAAGCTGATGTAAACGAACATGAGTAAAACGTCAAGAGTACCAATATCTCAGCCTTTCAGTAGAAAACGTGCAATCTACCCAAATATGAAAATGTAAGACCTAGTGATCTGCTGCATGGTGCTATTTTTGACAAACTTGAGGGTAACACCTAATTTTTAGACACACTGAGTTCTAGGATTAAAAAAAGGTCTGATTTAACTGCAGAGCCCAGTTTCTCCACCTTCAGGGGGGGAAAGCAACGGAACGCTTTCATCCTGGATGTTGGCTCCACATTGCTCTTGCAATAAACAGACACTCATAAAGATTGCGAGGATTTCTTCCGCTTTATTTTGTAATGGAATTTATTGTTTGGAGCACGAAAGAGCCATTGACTGTAAAAGGAAAGCAATGGGGTTCTGTATGTGGATATACTGATATTTAACTCCCGCCTGGTCGAAAATGAAATCCAACAGGGAATGTTTTATTTGCTCATATTTCTCTGTATCTTTTCACTCTTCCCTTCCCCGACTTCCACAGGTAGGCATGGAGGGACCATGCAGCTCTCGGTTGTCGCTGTTGTTTTTTTGCTAAAGTCAAAGTTCTGTATCCCTTTTGGCGACCTGCTAGCAGCTTCTGCTGTAGTCTTAGAAACCAGTGTAAATTGGGGGGGGGCAGGATCTTATCATCGTGCCCGAGTGGATCTCTCCATTCAGCTGGGTTCCAGACCCTCCCCACGGCTCATAATCCCTCTCTCGCCCCTGCCTTCACGAACTCTGAACCTTTCCATGAGACCACATCTTCCTTTGCCGACTCTCAACTACAAAAGGCCGAAATCTGCAAAGGAAAAGAAGAAGAAGCGACAGAACGTTGTGCAAACATTTGTGAAAGAAGTCTAATCCTCAGTGCACCGATCTGTGGTCTTTCCAGCACAGCGTTTAGACCTCGGAGGGTTTCGTGTCGGCAGGCATGCAAATCGCTGTGGCGCACAGACATACGTTGGTGAGTGGAATCGGCAGCTGCACCGCTGTCCCCCCCCTTTCCTGGGTCTCCCTCTCTCCGTATTGTTGCACGAATGGGTTGCCTGTTCTCGGACGGGAGCAGGAGCAAGCCCAGAGCTATCGCATTACAGTGCCGGATTGACAATGACCTCAGAGCCTGGCAGAAAAGTCCTCTTTCCCAAATGGGCTTTCGATGAGCGGTTGTGTTTACTTTCGCCAAAAACAAAAGAGAAGAGTCGGAAAGTTTATAACAGCATGGTCAAAACGAAGCACATCTTCCTGGAATTTGGTCGGTCTGGGTGTGGCTGTCGGGCTAATGGCCAAGTTCCTGATTATCGGGGTTGGGTGGGTGGTTTAAGGGTCCTAGGCCTTCATACTGGCCTGTCCACAGCGTACTGGCAAGGGCTGAGGCTGGAGGCTGCTGTCTGCACTGCCGGATAGGTGAAGTTGGCGTGCTGTTTGGCCTTCAACCTCAGGCTAGCCAGGCTGGAGTTGCACGTGTCCCGGTACGTGTATGGGCTGGCTGGGGAAGCGTATGGGCAGGTACTGGATGAAACGGCCGAGTTAAGGCCAGGGCTGTTGAGGTTGTTGAGGCTGGGGCCTGGCACGCCAGTCACTGTGGAGGGAGCTACCATGGATGAAGGCATGGGCATGGAGCCGATGGAGCTGGGCGTGGAGAACATGGGCTGCGACGAGAGGGGGCTGACGTTCATCGAGTTGAAGAAGGGGAAGCTCTTTGCCGACAGGGTGCTGGTGGCGAGGCCTTTGGTGGCCCAGCTGTTGTACGAGTAGCCGCTGTACATGTCATCATAAGGCTGCATCAGTCCATTGAACTGGGCTCCAAAGCTGTTCTTGCAGAGTTCGGCCTGTTGGTTCCTTTCTCGCTTCCTCCACTTGGCCCTGCGGTTCTTAAACCACACCTGGGAGAGAAAGGGAGCGTTTTCATAAGTTAGCATTCTGCGTGTGTTAGCTTGGTGAGAATAATAATAATAATAATTAATAATAATAATAATTTATTTATACCCCGGCCATCTGGTTGGGCTTCCTCAGCCACTCTGGGCGGCTTCCAAAAAAATATTAAAATACTGTGATACATCAAACATTAAAAGCTTCCCTAAACAGGGCTGCCTTCAGATGTCTTCTAAAAGTCTGGTAGTTGTTGTTCTCTTTGACATCTGATGGGAGGGCGTTCCACAGGGCGGGTGCCACTACCAAGAAGGCCCTCTGCCTGGTTCCCTGTAACTTGGCTTCTCGCAGTGAGGGAACCGCCAGAAGGCCCTCGGTGCTGGACCTCAGTGTCCGGGTAGACACCAGGCGGGGCTGAACTACAACTCCCATCGGCCTCAGGGAACATTGCAAAGGATAATGGGAGCTGCAGTTACAACGGGTCCTCAGCAATAGAACAGGTGGAACTTGCCACAAAATGTGGCCTGCATCCTCACTTCTAAAATGAGTACAGGATCCCAGCCAACCATTATCTCCCACCACCCAGTGTTCCAACTTTCTTTCCCCTTCTGTTACTCCTCATTCCACGTCTACTGAGCATGCTCAGTCCACAATGGGCTTTTGTTGGTGTTCCTCCTCCCCTGTGTCCCCCCCCCGTCCTTTCAGCTTGTTCATGTTTGAGGGGGGAATGTACTTCTGCAAACCTCAGGGTTTCCTCAAGCATGCGAGTATCTCCCCCTTGTTTCTTAGTGGTCCTACTTTGGGGGCGCTCGCCGCTTGAGTTCACTATTAGGAGTGATTGTGAGAGGAGTGCCTCACTTTTTAAAATGCAAGATTTTGAGAGCAATCTGTTCCTCAGAAAGTACTTGCACTGTATAATAGCTCACACAAAGAGATAAAAGCCACATGCAGAGGCCTCTTCCAACGGGTCCTCAGCAATATGTGGTTCGCTATCGAATCCTCAAATTCTGACCACATTAAGAGAAAGCAGAGTGGGCGTTAATGAGGCCTACCCGGACTCTGGCTTCAGTCAAGTTGGTCCAGACAGCAATTTCCTCCCGGGTGCTCATGTCCGGATAGCGGTTCCTCTGGAAAGTGGCTTCCAGCTCCTGGAGTTGTTGGCTGGTGAAGTGAGTTCTCTGCCTGCGCTGCTTCTTTTTCAAGGAGCCATCCTCAGGATTGGAGTCATCGGTCTGGTTCTGCTGTGACTTTTCTGTGTCTGCGAAAGCAAGAGCACAGATTTGTTGTAATATATTACTGACTCACAATTGCGTGCAAGAAAGGGTTAACCTGAGCTCAGGTTGCCAGTGGGGGCGGAGCTTAGCAGGCTCTGAGTCTTTTCTCTTCCTGCTTCCTGGAACAAGCAAGAAGTCATGCGGTCATGGCTCCCTGTGAGTGAACTGAATCTCTCAAAAAATGAGATTTCAAAGCCTAACCCAAAGATTGCATGATCCTTTTTGTAAAGAAACAAAATACTTTTCTTTTTAAGTCCTTTGGAACCTTTTTCATCTCTGTTTTACTGCCAGTGGTTGGAGACTTATTTGCTGTAACTTCTGGAAACTTTGTGAGTAAAATATTCACTTATCTGCAAAGTCAAGTGTCTGTGATTTATTCTAGCCTAGGGGGTGGATTGGGGAGAGGGCACGGCCTGGGAAATCCCTGAGGCCAGCTAGAGGCCTGGATTTTGGCCTTCAGGCATGAGGTTCTGCAGCTCTGCTCTACCAGTTACGATACGCTCATGTCTAAGAAACAAATAGAGCATCTCCCTTTCTAATCAGGCCAGAGCTGGAGGCTATGAAATGAGAAGCACCGCTTGCTGTTCAAAGAGCAAAGCCAATTTCGTACTTACCGCTGTGCTCTTGCCCCTTGCAGCTGTGCTCATGTTGTGGTGTCCCCGACTCTGAGAGGGAGAGATTGGGACTGTGGGCCTCTGAGTCAGTGAGCAAGTTGAACTCCATCGGCCTGGAATAGGAACCGGAGAAGAGCTGAAAAAGAGGCCCAAGTGATGTCTGAGTGGCATATACAATTAGGAGGTCAGTTTACTTGGTGGGAATAAGTTCAGTTACGTGGGGTTAACGTCCAGTAAGTGTGCTTGTTGCAGCCACAGGCTAACACTGTGAAGAATTAGTGTCTTTACTCCAAAACAGGTTCCATTGTGCACAGTGGGATTTAATTCTGGGAGTGCAGCTACCTTTCAAAGCTAACAAATAAACCTTTATGTTTGTGGACTGGTAGGTTCATGCCAAATGTTTGTGATCTGGTTATTTTCAGAAGCTAAAGACAAGCTGACCTTTGGCCTCTGGTGAAAAATTTATACCTATTTCCTCAACGCAGGCAGTGTCAAAGCTGGGAGGCAATGCCTGCTTGTGAATTGGTGGGCATCTTCTTCCTTCCTTACCTCACATATCCCTCCATTTTCATCCTGCACTGTTATTACAGGGAACAACATATATGCAGTAAGAAATCTTTGTGTCCCGTCCCCCCATCCCCCGCCGACTCCTTTACTAAGATAAAAGAAGGTCAGCGTTTTTAAGAGAAAAAAACCACTGGACAGTTTTTCCCCCTCTGCAGTAGATGTGAAGGCAATCACAGTGGTTTGGCACATGTGCGCACGCATGCATAGACAAGCGCATGTGCGCACGCCACGCACATGAAAGCGCACGAGTCGCCCTGGCACTTTGAGATGGTGCACCTGTACATGAAAATGCTGTGAAGGCGGGAGCCACGTTTGCCTCAATATACCTTTTTCATGCAGCATTTTGTGCAAGGAGGCGAGTCCATCTGCGGCTCTGGCTATTGTCATAGCTTTTGCGTGATTCCTGGAATTATGCAGAAACGCACAGCACATTAATTCCTCGGATTAAGACTTGATTAAGATGTGTGTAACTTTGCAGTCTCAGAATTTATTAAGGCCCCCTTCTCAAGGAAGCAGCAGATGGAATTTCTTCCCAGTGTTTGTAGATGATAATTCCACACACACACCCCACAGCTATTTGCATACGACTGCATCTGCCGCTGAGCACAATTTCCTCTCTTCCAGGGACTGATGCTGCAAGGACCGGATTCAAATTCCTCCTTTTCACCTGCTAAAGACCTGAAGCGAGACAGTCGCCCCCTCTAGCAAGAGGTGACAAGTTTAGCCAACTTGCAGAAAGGTAAGTGGCATTAAAAAAAGAGGTCTGTAGGCACCCCAGAAACAGGTTTTATTCTGCCTGAAGCAAAAGGTATTTTCTGAACAATTTTGCTTCTGTACAAGAAGCTACACATCACATCTATTTTTGCAGCCCTGGCCCTATGTGTTTCCATTGACTGAACTGGGACACAAACTCAAAAGGGTATGTTTCAGAACACAGCCTCAAATATTTGTTGCTGAGTGAGCAGTAACAGGCAGGGAATTTCTCGTTGTTCTATGCCCTGGCCACAAATCAGCTTGTCTGCTTGTCATTGTTCCGAAAATAATATTTTTTTGCTCAGTCTTGGTGCTGTTTGCTGGTATGAACTAAGTAGGAATTCATCTCTGGCTATTTCCAAGCACAAGAACTACATTTCACTCTTCTCCCTCATCACTGAATAGAAGTAGATGTTCTGAAGGAAGCCATCTTCCACTTGATGATGTGAATCAACACGCAAACGTATCGGCCGAAGGACCAGAACTACCCAAAGCACAAGAAGAGACTTGACACAGGACATTTTTAGCTCAACAACAGAGATAGGCCAAACCACAACAGAAAAAAAACAACTAGAGCTAATTTGAATTAAAACTAGTGTTGTTTTTTTCCGGGTGGTACGAAGGACTGGCACCCCCACCCCCAAAATCAAAGCCTCCTTCCCAAAGCCCAGGAAGCTTCTGCCTGGCTTACGGAGGGAGGTAAAAACAACAACTGGTCATAACATCTCCAACATTCCCCTTCTTCTTTTTCCCATGGTTCCTCATTCTGTCTGAGTCGACTTTTTCCAATGGCAGTTCAGTCCCATTCCCCAGTTCTCAGTTCCCAGGGAAAACATTGACCCTAGGTATGTGCGAAATTCACGCAGTCACGAAATTAAAAGACGCCTGCTCCTTGGGAGAAAGGCGATGGCAAACCTAGACAGCATCTTAAAAAGTAGAGACATCACCTTGCCAACAAAGGTCCGTATAGTTAAAGTCATGGTTTTCCCAGTAGTGATGTATGGAAGTGAGAGCTGGACCATAAAGAAGGCTGATCGCTGAAGAATGGATGCTTTTGAATTATGGTGCTGGAGGAGACTCTTGAGAGTCCCATGGACTGCAAGAAGATCAAACCTATCCATTCTTAAGGAAATCAGCCCTGAGTGCTCACTGGAAGGACAGATCCTGAAGCTGAGGCTCCAATACTTTGGCCACCTCATGAGAAGAGAAGACTCCCTGGAAAAGACCCTGATGTTGGGAAAGATGGAGGGCACAAGGAGAAGGGGACGACAGAGGACGAGATGGTTGGACAGTGTTCTCAAAGCTACCAGCATGAGTTTGACCAAACTGCGGGAGGCAGTGGAAGACAGGAGTGCCTGGCGTGCTCAGGTCCATGGGGTCACGAAGAGTCAGACATGACTAAACGACTAAACAACAACAAATGTGCGAAGGGAGGTGGGTCAATTTGGGGCCTGAGTCATTTGGGGCTTCAACCCCAACAGAAACAGCTTGAACTGGACCTGGAAATGAACCAGTAACCAGGGAAGCTGTTTTAAAACAGAAGGGTGTATGAGATCTAAACGGAACTAGAATCTGGATGCTGTATTTTGGGCCCACTGATGTTTCTGAGTTGTCTTCAAGGGCAACCCCACACAGAGAGCATTGCAGTCATCCAGTCTGGAAGTTGCCGGAGCACAGGGAACAGTGGCCAAGTCATCTATGTCCAAAAGAGGTTGTAGTTGGCAGAGGCGGAGGAAGCCACTTGGGCACCTGGGGCGGCACGTTCAGGGGCAGGGCGAGCCCACCCATAGCAGTGGGGCACACCACAGGGCCTCTGGGGTCTGCCTGCCTCCTCCCACTCAAGACGTAACCAGCTGTACTTTTGAATAAATAAGGTACTGCAACCACTACCATGGTATAAGATCCACTATCCTGTAATATTACATATGGTATGTACAAGTGTTTGTGTTTTTTATATTAATTTTGCTGTAAAAATGTATGAGATTACGATATTGTATTTATTTGCGTTACCTAGAGCCTGTTCTACTGATGAAGCCTAGGATGGCAAAACAAGGCTAATCTTCCGGAAATCCTTGTCTTAGACTCTGTGAAAGGATTCTGTGGAACTGTAACAACCCTTCATGTGGATTATTGGACTCAATGAACAGACAGGTGGAATAGATACTTACACATTTATGGACCTTATGCATGAACTGACTAGAGAATGAACTGATCCACTGGGTCATTTCTGCTTTATGAGATTTCCGTTGAAATCTACAATTTGATACAATGAATATTATACCTTATTTATTCAAAAGTACAGCCGGTTACAGGGACGCGGGTGGTGCTGTGGGTTAAACCACAGAGACTAGGACTTGCCGATCAGAAGGTCGGCAGTTCGAATCCCCGCGACGGGGTGAGCTCCGGTTGCTCAGTCCCTGCTCCTGCCAACCTAGCAGTTTGAAAGCACGTCAAAGTGCAAGTAGATAAATGGGTAGCGCTCCGGCGGGAAGGTAAACGGCATTTCCGTGTGCTGCTCTGGTTCACCAAAAGCGGCTTAGTCCTGCTGGCCACATGACCCGGAAGCTGTACGCCAGCTCCCTCGGCCAATAAAGCGAGATGAGCGCCGCAACCCCACAGTCGGCTACGACTGGACCTAATGGTCAGGGGTCCCTTTACCTTTACTTTTACAGCCGGTTACGTCTTGTGTGTTTATTGAGTATGTTTCCCGTAACCATACGTTTCTTGATGTTGTTTTGCCTCCTCCTACTCAGCTGCCTTACAGCTGGGTGGGAGGCAGCGGGCAGACCATTTGGGCAGCGCAGAGCCTGCTCGTGCCCAAGCTGCTGTGTCTCTCCCAGAAGAGACGCATGGCTCAGGTGCGCTGCAGGCCCCACGGCGAGTGGCACCCAGCATTTTGTCACCCCCCTCAGGGGTGACACCTGGGATAGCTTGCACCCACCGCACCCCCTTCCTCCGCCTCTAGTAGCTGGCAAACCAGGTAGAGCTGAACAAAGCCACTCCTAGCATTTAAGAGTAGCTATTCAGAGGGACTCGGGTGGCGCTGTGGGTTAAACCATAGGGCCTAGGACTTACCGACCAGAAGGTCGGCAGTTCGAATCCCCGCGACGGAGCGAGCTCCCGTTGCTTGGTCCCTGCTCCTGCCAACCTAGCAGTTCGAAAGCACCTCAAAGTGCAAGTAGATAAATAGGTACCACTCCGGCGGGAAGGTAAACGGCGTTAGTCATGCTGGCCACATGACCCAGAAGCTGTATGCCGGCTCCCTCAGCCAATAAAGCGAGATGAGCGCCGCAACCCCAGAGTCGGCCACAAAATGACCGAATGGTCAGGGGTCCCTTTACCTTTTAATCAGAGTACTGTGCAGACTTCCACTCTGTTGCTCTGAAGCTGTCCATTCTGAGGCACAACGAATGGCTCTATCTAGTCCTCATTACTGCATTAAACACACACCCTGAGCCACCAGGGGAGATGGTTTGTCATTTGGGCCATGTGTGGTGTCATCAGCATAAATATGCACTTCTCTGTCCAACCATGTTCCGGGGACCAGGGCAGCAAATTCAGATGATTTCTGATTTTGAATGTACAACCCAGAAATGCGGGGGGAGCGATCTAAGTTCAAGGAAAGGTCATGAATTTCTTGTATATAAGAATTTGGGGATGGGGGGAGAGTCTAAAGCATCAGGGCAATTTTCCTACACTTGTGATCTTAATGGAGTTGAAATGGGAACCATGGGAAACCATTAATCACCGGAAGATAAACAGCCACGATTAGCCTGCTACTCAGAAGTAGCTGAGCGCCTGTCGGTAAGGCAAGGCAAGCTGTAAGCTTTCTGCATTATCCAGTCCTCTGTTTCCATCACGTTTATTTGAACCAGCTACCAGTTCAAGGTACAGTGGTACCACAGGTTACAGACGCTTCAGGTTACAGACTCCCCTAACCCAGAAATAGTACCTCAGGTTAAGAACTTTGCTTCAGGATGAGAACAGAAATTGTGCGGCAGCAACGGGAGGCCCCATTAGCTAAAGTGGTACCTCATGTTAAGAACGGACCTCTGGAATGAATTAAGTTCTTAACCTGAGGTACCACTGTACCAGTTATTTAAAGCCCAGTCCCAGCGTAGCCATAGACAGCACTCTCTCCTGTTTGTTGCCTCCATCTTTTGTGATCAGCAAGTAAGACCAGCAACTAAGGCCAAAGGACCTTTTGTTGTAAGAAAAGGATCATTCACACAACTTATTCACAGTCAACTTCCTAACAACTATATATATTTTAAATTTTCTGTTGTAAACCTCTGAGCACCTTTTAGATGGAAAGTAGCTATGCATTTACAATTTAATATAAAATAAATACGCTATGACAGATTTTTTAAAGTTGTGTAAGTTAAGCGGTAAATGGCTTATGAAAGACTTGCAGTTCCTTCCTTCCTTTTATAGACCATGAAAACTACACAGAGTAGAAAGTTAGAGAGAACCATCTCATTGTCTACATATGCTGTTTCATGCTGAATGTTTAAATGGTTTTCCCTGCCTGTGGAAATCAAATGAGAAACCCAAGGATTTAATTTACCTGAGACAGGGCGACAGAATGTCCACTCTCAGACAAATTTTCTTTCTGACATATTTCTCTTATGTAAAACGTTAGTTTAAGGTTTGCCAACACTTTAAAATAATCCTCCCAATGCAAATGCAGTCTGTAGACCTGCAGGAACATGAGCTTTTGGACTTGACAAATGAACTTGGAAAAAACCAGACTTGGGAAGATAAAGCTTGGACTGGCTTGGAAATGGGGGGTTGGATTGATCCCCCTGTGCAGGGATGTTTGGGCTTCCCGAGTGTGGCAATGGGCCGTGAGAGGTTTGGAGCTGTGGGGGCTCTCAATTTTGGAAGGATTTTGAAACATGTTTTTAAATACCACACGGAGTTTAGTTTGGACTATAGAAAAGGGGCTGATTTGTTGAAAAGGGTCAAAAACATTACCAAGCTGGAGTTCCCACGAGTGAAAGGAGAATATGAAGAAGAGCCGCGGAAGGGACATGGAAGAGACTTAAGGGCCTCGGATATAAGGTTAACAGGTTAATGCGCTAGATCAATGGGATAAAAAGGACTGACAAAACCCGGGATCAGGAGGAAGGGACGCTGGATGAAGATTGGATTGTCTTTATTTATTTTTTTGTTACTAGGATTGTTTTATAAAATTGATGAATGTTAGAAGGATGTTGAAATGAAATGGCTTGGCTCTAGCAAAAATGTTTAAAGAATTAGGAAATAATATTATGGTTATCAGAAGTTGGTAAGAATAAGACTTAAGCTTTAAGTTTGAAGGTTTTTACAAGATAAGATGCTAATAGATTAAGACAATGCAATGAAATATTCGGATAAATAAAGAGGGAAAGGATTTGCTGAATTAATAAATTGAATTGGAATACAAAAGAGGGAGGTGTGAGGAGGTCCGGGAAATAAGCAAATGAAAGATAAGCAAAGGAAAGATGGAATTGTTTTTAACTATTTTTATTTTTGTATTTTTCTTTGTTTTCTTTTTTCATTTTGTAACACTTTAAAAACCCTAATAAATATCTTAAAAAAAAAAAGCAAATGCAGTCTGTAGACCTGAAATTTGAGGGTCAACGCAGCTGGGGCTGAGAAAGAGTGGATTGTGGGAGTAAACTTCACTCTGAAAACTTCAGAGGGTTAGGCTGAGGCCAAGGGAGTTGCTTGCAGCATCACTGCAATGTGATCTACTACTGTTGTGCTCTTTTTGAAGACTGAGGGACCACCCTGAAAAGAGCAGCTTACGATAGTCATGCAATGTAAAGGTAAAGGGACCCCTAACCATTAGATCCAGTTGCGGATGACTCTGGGTTTGCGGCGCTCATCTCACTTTACTGGCCGAGGGAGCTGGCGTACAGCTTCCGGGTCATGTGGCCAGCATGACTAAGCCGCTTCTGGCGAACCAGAGCAGCGCAATTAATGCCGTTTACCTTCCCGCCGGAGCGGTACCTATTTATCTACTTGCACTTTGACGTGCTTTCGAATTGCTAGGTTGGCAGGAGCAGGGACCGAGCAATGGGAGCTCACCCTGTCGCGGGGATTCGAACCGCCGACCTTCTGATCGGCAAGCCCTAGGCTCTGTGGTTTAGACCACAGCACCACCCGCATCCCTAGTCTTGCAATGTAGTCCAGTGTTAAAATCATGGATCAAGTGGGACATAGGCTGGTATGGATTTCGAGCCAAATTCTGCCGCCACCCCCAAAAATAGATTACACTTCAAACTTCTTCACAAGCCAAATTACTGCTTGTTCAGTTACTTTAAATATTTTATACCACCTTTCAATCATATTCTCGGGGGGCTTACAAATCCAGAGCTCAACTGAATTCAAAAGCCACGTTGGAATGTCACATTAAGTCAAGCCGCGCAAACCCTCCAACATTTCTCCAATGAAAATAGGAACATCGGGACATTCTGGGATCAAATCAGAAACCAGGATGGCTTCCGTAAATCCAGGACTGTCCCTGGAAAATAGGGACATTGGAGTGCAAATGTATTAGCTGGGGCAAACTTTGGTAATATGGCACCCCGAGAGAGGACAAAATTTCTGCCTCCTATTTCTTATGATGGCAATAATTCTTTTTCCAATCCCAGTTGCTCTTTTTATGCATCTTCTCAGTAGGTACCTGTAAAGGTAAAGGACCCCTGGACAGTTAAGTCCAGTCAAACTTGACAATAGGGTGCGGCGCTCATCTCTACTTTCAGGCCAAGGGAGCCGGCGTTTGTGCACAGACAGCTTTCCAGGTCATGTGGCCCACATGACTAAACTGCTTCTGGCACAACAGAACACTGTGACGGAAGCCAGAGCGCACGGAAATGCCGTTCACCTTCCCGCCACAGTGGTACCTATTTATCTACTTGCACTGCCATGCTTTTGAACTGCTAGGTTGGCAGAAGCTGGGACAGAGCAATGGGAGCTCACCCCATCGTGCAAATTCGAGCCTCTGACCTTCTGATCGGCAAGCCCAAGAGGCTCAGTGGTTAAATATTTGTTGTTGTTGTTGTTATGCACACACCCCTTGGCTCAGCACCCTGTGCGGGGGAACTGCTGGCACCGCCCTAAATCCAGTACTGCTGCTGGATCCCAAGGAGATGGTAGCTGCGTTACTCCTCCCTGGCCAAAGTTTGGCTCAATATGTCATCCAAACCCAGGTTTGTGACTAAGGTCTCCCCTCTAGCCTTTTATCCAAAGCTGGAATCATGGTTAATGCAAGCCTTGGCTTAGCTGCTGCCCTGCGCTAATCTGGGGTGAGGCTATGCTCTGAGAAGCTGCAGCCATCAGGGTAAAATGTGTCCTCACATATCACATGTTGTTGTTTTCGTTCTTAACCAGCTTTGCATTGCTTCCAGGTTGCTGTTTCCTGCACAACTGTGTCACACATACAACCTAGAATGATCTAACTATGGCAGGGAGTGACAAAGGACTAAAACAAACTTCCACGTTAAGTTAAGGGATGCTGTCTGGAAGCTTTCTAGACAATCATTTTCTCTGGCGTTCTGATGTCACTGCAAAGCCAAAGAGATCCATGGGCCCACACAACTGCAGTAATGGGGAAACCTTTGATACCACATCCTAAGGTTCATGGGCAAATTAAACAGCAAAATAATGTATTATAAAAGTAATTTATGGATTTACAGTGCCTTATTGGATTTACAGTGCCGTATTGCAAGCTGGTGTCACGGCCTGCAAAACGAGGGCGATGGGAACGGGAGTCCCTTTCGCAAGCCACTTTTGGCTCCAATACTTTGGCCACCTCATGAGAAGAGAAGACTCCCTGGAAAAGACCCTGATGTTGGGAAAGATGGAGGGCACAAGGAGAAGGGGACGACAGAGGACGAGATGGTTGGATAGTGTTCTCGAAGCTACCAGCATGAGTTTGACCAAACTGCGGGAGGCAGTGGAAGACAGGAGTGCCTGGTGTGCTCTGGTCCATGGGGTCACGAAGAGTCGGACACGGCTAAACGACTAAACAACAACAACAACATTGAAAGACAGATGCATGTAGCAAGCTTGGAACGTTTGTCAAAGAGCATAGGCTTCCCTGCTAGCTTATCAAGTGGAAAACGCTTATCAAATATCACACACTCTATAGTCTAAAGATAGGGGGTGATGTATAGGTTGGCAAAAAGAATATGATTTTGCTTACCCTTCAACATTTCACTCTTGTAAATGAGTGTGTAGTCCTAGGGGCAGAATCCAAGGCCTTAACACAATTCAGACTCGGATTCGCCACAGCTAGAAAACAAGAGCTAAAAGTGTGCGCATGCACTCATTCCAACTAGGCGATAAAAGCTGTGGGGCAAGCTACAAACCCCAAAGCAGTTCAAATATATATGAAACACATGTCTATGCGCATAGCTTCCTTCATACAATTTACAACAGGAATCGGGGTTCTGAGGCTATAGTGCAACAGAAGCGGAACAAAGATTTGCAGCATTAAAAGTTATGGCATTTCAGCAGGAAGTTATGGGATATGCACAGGTTGGAAATGAAGCTCCTGCTTTAAATCTTCTAAATGCTGAAACAGGATTGGAAGCAGGACCAAGTATGACCGCTCCGAGATCATCATCAGCACAGATCATCCTATGTGTACAATAAAAAGCCCCTCCAGAGGGGCACTTTGTTGTTCTGATACACAAGCTCACCAGAACTCAGCCTAGGGGATCTGATATGATACGAGATCTGAGTCCTAGAAGGTAGCTCCACAAATGTTGAATGCATTTTTCTCAACAGTTAACATGGCCTGCCTCCCGCCTCCCCTCCCATTCAGAATTCAAGAGCTGGCTGTCCCTGAATAAATGTTGTCATTATTAGAGCTGCCTCCACAATCCGCCCCACACAAAAAACCCACTCCTGGTTTCCACTCCTCACCCTACTTTGCCTTCATTTCAGCAGCCCCAAAGGGTGTGTTTCTTACATCTCAGGAGAGTGGCACTTTTTATCTGTATTGATGTTTCCTGTCCGCACTAGTGGGTGGAGTTTGATAAGATGTGTTTGCTCACTATTTTTGTCCCCTCCCTGCAATTTATTGTGTCATTGACATGCTGCAAAATTCACCTGCAAAAACACCCCGACCTGTCTGGGTGGGCTCTGATACAGACCTGCAATGCATCAGCTTAGGCCAAAAACTCATAGTAATAATAATAATTTATTATTTATACCCCACCCATCTGGCTGGCGTTTCCCCAGCCACTCGGGGCAGCTTCCAACAAAAGATTAAAAATACATTAAAACATCCGTCGTTAAAAACTTCCCTAAACAGGGCTGCCTTCAGATATCTTCTAAACATCAGATAGTTGTTTATTTCCTTGACATCTGATGGGAGGGAGTGCCACAGGGAGGGAGCCACTACCGAGAAGGCCCTCTGCCTGGTTCCCTGTAACTTGGCTTCTCACAGTTAGGGAACCACCAGAAGGCCCTCGGTGCTGGACCTCAGCGTCCGGGTTGAACGATGAGGGTGGAGACGCTCCTTCAGGTATACATTAGTGGCTTAAAACACAGAGAGGTCACCCCCCCCGGCTGCATTTCAAGTCACATTTTCACTCTGCTGTGCACATCGGAGAGGGGCGAGGATGCCTTCACCTGATGTGCATTGCCTGATTTCCTGCAATGTTCCCTCAACTCCTTTTCATGAAACCGTCATTTGTGCAGACGCGGTCATCCATGCAGGCAGAACAACTATCTCAAAGGTACATCTGAAGGCAGCCCTGTTTAGGGAAGCTTTTAATGTTTGATGCATTACTGTATTTTAATATTTTGTTAGAAGCCGCCCAGAGTAGCTGGGGAAGCCCAGCCAGATGGGCGGGGTATAAATAATAATTTATTATTACTATTATTATTATTATTACACACCTTAACTGCGGAGGAAATGTGGCTTCAGTTTTCCTTTCAGGCTGGTTTGAGGGAAAACATATCAAAACAATTGTATTTTTCAAGTCAGTCCTCATCCTTTAGCAGTGCAAGTCGGGAAGGGCTCACAGTGCGGGCCAGGTGTGGAGGAAGCAGAGCAAATTACGTAAATGCATTTCTACCTTACTTAGGTAAAGGTAAAGGGACCCCTGACCATTAGGTCCAGTCGTGACCGACTCTGGGGTTGCGGCGCTCATCTTGCTTTGCTGGCCGAGGGAGCCGGCATACAGCTTCTGGGTCATGTGGCACTTCTGGCAAACCAGATTAGCGCCCAGAAACGCTGTTTACCTTCCCGCCAGAATGGTACCTATTTATCTACTTGCACTTTGACGTGCTTTCGAACTGCTAGGTTGACAGGAGCAGGGACCGAGCAACGGGAGCTCACCCCATCGTGGAGATTCGAACCGCCAACCTTCTGATCAGCAAGCCCTAGGCTCTGTGGTTTAACCCACAGCGCCACCCACGTCTCACAGCCTTAGAAGGGCAACAGCCAAATAAAGAGAGTGTCCCATTAGGATTACATTAACACCTCCCCGTAGGGGGATCATCCTGCAAATGTTATAGCACAGGGCTGTCCAACTTCCAAGAGACTATGATCTACTCCCACTATAAAAAAAACAGGCAGTGATCTACCCATTGGATTGACCAGAGTTGTTGAGCTTTTTTGGGGGAAGGGGGGGGCGTCAGGGGCCCGTGATCGACCAACATTGACCAGGGACATCCCGTGATCGACCGGTACATCTCAAGATCGACCTGTTGGACAGGCCTGTTATATCAGAACCAATCCTTTGAAACAAACTCCGATAAGAGAAGGTATTTTGTTCGGATCCTACACCCATAACAAATTATATTCCTGGACCTGGAAAAACGCATGAAAATCTGGGCCACTGATTCTCATTCTGCTCCTACTTCTCCCAAGTGTGACACGGAATCGCATTTTGGAAGGACTAAAGAGAGTGCTTGCTTGCAGATACAGGTAATTATTAAAGTAACAACAACAACAACAGAAATCCTGTTTGCTTTATGTGGGCTGCAACATTCCCATGCATATTAATGGATGATGAGTCGGTTTCCCTGGTGCAATATTCAGCCGGGAAAGTTGTTTTTAAAAATTATTTAAAGTCAGAAAGATTCTGATTCACTTCATTTCCTATGCAAGGTACCGTTAAGGCAGATTTCTTAGCAGCGGAGCAAAGAAACAACAGAGAGGCCTTGCCTTTTAGGTAAAGGGTTACCTGCTGCAGACAGCGAGCTGAACTTCCCGTCTGTGAAACAGGGATGACAAAAGGAAAACGAAACACCCTGTGCTGCTGTTGTGATAGTTCATCTGTTCTGTAGGCTAGGGGGAATTTGCTGACTCGTCCTTCAGGAACCTCTCCGATGGGCTGCTGCAAGAGCTACTAACACCATGTTAGGTGAGGAGAAAAAGGACTCAACCACAATTGCCCCAATGGTGAGGTGTGGAGTTTCTCTGGTCTTACAGCTTTTGAGATCACGTTCTTCTCCAGGGATGGGGGCTGTGACCCTGTGCTGTTGCTGCTGCTGATTTCGTTGCATTTATTACGATTGTTTAAATTTGTCCTGATGCTACTTGTACTGTATTACCTTGGAAGCTTTGGAAAGGTGAATTTATAATTTTTTTAAGCAATGGCAAGGCTTCACAGAACTGCCGATTTTCATTCTTGCCCACCATTCAAAGGAAGAGCTCAAGTCCAGCTAAGGAGCTAAGGGTGGCTGATTGCTGTTAAACATCCTTTACTCTAAAAGGTCTAAGAGATGAAATACTGAACATTCAGAGGAGAGATTGCTAATGTCACTTGTGCTCTGGAACAATTCAGTGTATATTATTTATCATTTATAATGATAATATAATATCATTATATATGATATTATCATTGTGCTCTGGAACAATTCAGTGTATATTATTTATCCCACCTGTCCCTGTTCAGGAAGACGTACAGTGGTACCTCTGGTTAAGTACTTAATTCGTTCCGGAGGTCCGTTCTTAACCTGAAACTGTTCTTAACCTGAAGCACCACTTTAGCTAATGGGGCCTCCTCCTGCTGCCGGGCCGCCAGAGCACGATTTCTGTTCTCATCCTGAAGCAAAGTTCTTAACACAAGGTACTATTTCTGGGTTAGTGGAGTCTGTAACCTGAAGCGTATGTAACCTGAGGTACCACTGTACACTACTTTATTTTAACTCCTCCTTTGGAAGAGACATCAGGGCTGTTCATCTATTACATTCAGTGCACATACAGTTTTTGTACAGTGTACACAAGATTGCTAATTTTTACACATATTAATTTATGGACATTCTATACATATTTGGTGGTATATGATCGCATGCAGCACTTTTTGATAAAAAAAATTCAAATTCTTGGAGAGCCTATTCCAAAGACACAGCTATAATATATATTTTGAAATTAGATTTTTTTTTTAATTGGTTGCGGCTAGAATGCTGCTTCTTAAATATTGTGGGGTGGTATCAAACATTCTGTCAGCTGACGAATGGCTTGAAAATCTGGTAGATTGCGATTATGGCAACTTTTGAAGCACTCTCAAAAGCTACAGTGGGATTTATTGAAGCAATTTTTAAGAATTGCTAAGAAATAGTCATTATGGCTGCAATCCTACACACATTATAAAGTTTTTAACATTGTTACGGTTATTGGCATCTTTGGTCTTAATTTTTTTTAACAATGTTACATTTTTATATTACGCTTGCTCTTTTTATAGCTTTGTATGGTTCTTTTTGTTTCAGATTCTTGTTTAATGTACAAAGAGTTGGACATTACTTTCTCCCATTTTTTCCTCTGCTTTCCCCCATTTTCAATTTTCTAATAAATGGATTTTTTAAAAGGAAGTGGGTGATAAG